ATGCCTGGAGTCACTGAGCACAAAGCTCCCACGTGCTCACTTGGCAAATCAGCAGGAGGCCGTCCCCTCCCCCAGCAAGATGGCAGGAGTTCAGGAGCGCTGAATGGCTCTGGAAGAAAAGTCCCCAGGAGTGCAAATGGACCCTTTCGCTCCGTGGCTCTGCATCAGCTCTCTTGGAAGGGCTTAAAGTCACCAGTCAGGCCAAAGGTCGAAGCTCTGGCTTTGTATAGTGCCTCACGATTTTCAAAGCATGTCCAGTCACTCTCTCATTCGCCCCCCTGGAGGCCGGAGCACCCCTGCCCGCCACACCCTATTTCAGAGCCCAGCGTCTGGCAGTGACCAGGCTTGCAACTCCCTGCGTGGAGCTCTTGCTCTGCTCTCGTTCTCCGCGGCCAGGGCCACCACCCTTGGGCAGAGTCATTCTGAACAAATTCGACAGCCTCGCCGGAGCCTTCTCCACAGAGCAGCCAGGCCAAGCCTCGGACAAGTGCCAGTCCCCACCTGCCTGACAGCCTCCAGCCCCTCCTCATCACACCTGAGTAAAACCCAGATTCCTTCCCGTGGCCCACAGGCCTTGGCGGGCGGATCCTGCTCCTCTGTGACCTCGCCTTGCCCCTCCCCTGCTCAGCCTCCGTGACACCATTTCTCCCTCCTTCTGCTAGGATCCCAAGCTGGGCCCTGCCTCGGGATCTTTGCACCACCTGTTCCGGAACACCCTACAGATTTTTCTTGGCCTCTATTTAGGGTTCAGCTCAAACATTATCTCCTCAGGAGGCTGTCGTGCCAGCAGGCACCGGGCAGGCTCTCTGTGGATCCAGGCAGAGTTACGGGTAAAGGAGCATTCTGGAGTTCTCAGTGGCTTTTTCAGGCTTTAATGCTCTTTCTATGCCAGCTGCTGTGGGGCAAGCCTGCAGGCTGGCAGGCAGAGAGGCCGGGAGGCTGGCAAGTCTCCCAGACCCCCGCGAACCTGTCCACTTTTCCCTTTGGGCTCTGTCCAGCGTCCTCTCTCGGTCCTGCCTCTCTGAGTCAGTCGTCCTCTCGTAGGCCCCGCTGTAGCTGTTCTGTCTCTCAGCAACGCTGCCCTTATAGCCTCAGCCTCCAGGCCCACTCCCTGCCCCAGGTGTCCACGATCGGGCACGCATGCCCGCCCACGGGCCCACGGGCCTCCTGCTTCAGCACAGTCAAGGCCACAGGCGATGGCCACAGAGGCCAGCGGGGTGAGAGCCCCAGCGTCTTCCGTCTGCGCAGGCTTGCCCTCTCCCGGCACCAGCGCCCCCAGCCGCCCTCCCGCAAGCCCTGTTTTATCTTCCACTCACAGTGAGTCAGCTTTGTCCAGGGCTTGGTTTTGAAAATTTTAAACCAACAAAAGCTTTTGCAAAATTACGTTGATCGTGTTTATGTGACTGTCATTTCCCAGGGAGCCGAGTGGTTTGCGGGGGCCGCGGAGGGAAGGCCACGGCGACGGGCCCCTCGGGCCGCGGCTGGCCGGGCTTCAGGGCCGGGTCCCTCCTCCGCTGGCCGGGGGGCTCTCGCACCTCACCCCTGCCCCCCGCCCCTGCTCCCCCACTGAAGCCCAGGGCACAGACGGGCACAGACCACTAGGTCCAGACGGCACCCGCCCGCCGCCCCTCGGCTGCCCTCACAATTGCCATCTCTGGTGCCAGCTGCTCAGCCAGATCTTGTCCAGATTTTTGTCCAGTTCCGTGAACATTCTTCCACTTCCTCCTCCAGCCTTTTTATTGAATTTTTTATTTTGGCCATGATTTTTCATTTTCAGGAACTCTTTCATATTCCCCTTTCCTTCCAGAACAGCTTGTACTATTGTTTTATGGCTGCAATATTCGCTCGGCTCTCTCTGAGGACGCGCATTCCATCCCTGACGCCTCGCTTCTCTTCTGGACTCGGATGGCTCCTTGGGGGGGCTGTTCTGCGTCTACCCCGCTCTCGCTTCTGCTGCTCCGCCCCCCGCCCCCGGGTCTGCCGATCCCGGCCCGTCCTTGGTTGACCATAAAGGGCTGAGCTGGTGGTTTCTGTGGGGTTTGCGTGACCGCAGTTGACTTCCCAGCTAACCCCGGGAGGGGAGGTGGACGGGACTTTCAGCTGATGTAGTCTGTGTGGACAGGTGAGTCGGGGCACCTTCCTCCACAGGTGAGCTCTAGGCCTGCACCGAGGTTTGCCCTCCTTGCGGGTATTTCTTGTCTTTGGAAAATGCAAATACAATTCTAGTCTCGGGGAAAATCAAAGCCACTGCGGGTGGGGGTGGAAGTACAATGCTGGGGACAGACTCCCCAGTCTTCCCCGATAGATTTTGAAAACCCCTTTTATTTCACAGTAATTCTAGAATCATGCAAGAGCTTCAATGACACACAGAAGGGCTCCGTGCAGCAGTCACTTACCTCCTGCTACGGTCAGTGTCATACACACCCATGACACCTTTGTCCAGGCCAAGGAAAGGTCTTGTCATGACCTGACCATCTTCTTCTCGTCCAGTCTTCCTCTGGCTGCCTCTCCTGTGCATTGACCCGGGGTTGCTGGTTCTGCTGCCTGGGGCCTCCACGCTGGGGCCCAGACCCACGGGGAACCCACAGGTGCATCATGATGGTCACTATGACAACCACCCAATGGGTTAGGAGTGGTTGGAGGAAGAATTCACCTGTCGCTGCAAGAAATTCTGACACTTGCCAATGGACAACCAACTCCCCAAAGCCCAGGCCGGCTGAGAGACGCCATGGGCATTAGTGACCACAGGGATCCGGGGTCTGGAAGCCCACCGTTCCCCCAGTCCTGCACCCACTCTGCTCCCCGCCATATTGGATTATGTGCTGCTCCTGGGAGATGCCCAGGTTTCTTTTTCATCCTTGGGACTCTATAGGACATGGTCTCTCCCTCCCATCCATCGAATTAACTCCTTTCTTTTACTTAAAAAAATGAGATTAATGTTAAGACTTTCTAACTCCCTCAAATTAGACCTTAATATTGAACATGGTAGTTTTCAAAAACTAAATATTCAAGACCTCGGTAATCAATTTTCCTTCAATGTCACGCACCAAGGCATAAGGCATGTTAAGAGCACTGGCCTAAAAATAAAAATGTCCTTTTCTCGTCAACACGACTTACATTACAGGTCATCTTCCACTCTATAACTCTGATGAAGATTATGTCTTGTGGGTGATGGGCCGAGTGTTTAGGGAGATTCACTCATTCCTTGGGGAATCTCAATGGCCGTCACGTGACGAAGGCGGCTCTCACCCCTGGAATCACAGTCACTCAAAGGTGCTGTCACCACTGACCAAGTTTCGGGGTGTCTGGTGGTTATTGCAATACCCAAAACCTACACGACATAGGACTAAGTCTTCCAGAGCACCTCATGGAGTGGTCACGCCACCTGAGAGGATCCCCTTCCGGGTGGTGTCCTGGCCTGGGGACATCCACAGGTGGTCCAGCGCAGGGACCCGGGTCGAGGTGAGGCCTCAAGGGAGCGGCAGCAGGAGCCAGGGATTTGCCTTTGCTCAGCAAGTGCCCTCTGCTTGGCTGATAGAACCTTACAGAGTGGGTGTGCTGACTGAGGGGTGTAGTGATGATGCCAGAGGTTGATCCAAGACAAGCCAAAGGGTCGTGCGAAGGGGGTTGGATTGTGCCAGGAGGAGGCTGGGTGACCTCAGGCAGGTTACAGGTCCTCTAGAAGATTCTTTTGCTCATCTCTAAAATGCACACATTCATGCATAGAATCAAAACCCTGGCCAGTTGCTGGCAGAGTGCTATGGAAAGAAGGGGTTCCCGTTCCTTGCTCCTCCCAGCTCTGGCTCCTCTTGGGACTCTGGGGAAGGGGCTGGCGCCCGCACTGCCCACTGGATTCCCTGGTCTTTGCAGCGGCTTCTGGGAAGCCACTTGGAGCAGAGCTTCGTGGGAAGGGGCAGAGACGGAGGATTAATAGTTTGTGAGTGGTCTGGTGACTTGGGGAGTGACATCTTGATTTGTCACAGTGCACAGAGCTCTGGGAGTTAATGTGGTGCACCCACACTTAGGCCCGAGTGGACCTCATGACAGCTACATGGACAAGGCTGAGCGGGAGTGACCAGGGTTGCTCAGGTCAGAAACTGATGCTCAGAGATGCGGGGACTTGTGAGGGTTACACGGCGGGGTGCAGGGTGATGGTGGGGGCACAGTGAATGGTGGGGGTGCAGGGTGATGGTGGGGACCCAGTGATGGTGGGGTGCAGAGCGAATGTCGGAGCGCAGAGTGAATGGTTTTATTCTCTGGGCAAAGCAAGCACGTCATTGAGTTGGTGCCCCCCACTCCGGGGAGAGGGCCCCACCCCACCCAGCCCCATTAAGAACAAAGTTGTAAGAAGCAACGTCCAAGAAACAGTTTATTCTGAACAAGGAACAACGACGACTTGAACGGGGCCAGGAAGTCCAGCCTGGGGCCGCCCCGTCCTGCCCGGTGCCTGCCCGGCCCAGGGCACATGGCAGGCGCTTCGGGGCACACGGGACAGGCGCAGCCCCCGGGGTTTCTGGCGGGACAAAAGTGCGAGGAACAAGGAGACTTACGTGGACGCCCCCGGGCGACGGCCTTGGCTCAGGGGAGGAAAACAGATCGTTGTGTCTTTAAATGAAACAGAAGAGCACGCGGCAGCGAAACCGCCCCTTGAGAAGCCTAAGACACGACCTGACAGTGCGGGGGGGGGGGGGGGGGGGGGGGGGGGGGGGGGGGGGGGGGGCGGGGGTGCGGGTCATGTAAAAAAGTGAAAATTGGGGGTTGGATGAAAAGGCAAGAACACCATTGAACCCTCGCAGAGACACACGGCGGACTCCAGGGCGAGAAGGGAGCGCGGGCCTGGCCCGCGGAAACGCACTGACCGTGACTGAGGGGGGGTGGGAGGGAGGTTTCCCCAGCGGCGCTCGGACCAAGAGGACGGGGTGCAGCCGTGAGGGTGCGGCCCGCAAGGCCAGGCCAGGCCAGCGCTGCCCCCAGCCCAGGCCGAGCCGCCGCCTGTGGGGCTGATGCTCTCCCGCGCCCCTGAACCCCGGCTGCCCTCGAAGGCCGAGCACCCCCGACGTGGGCAGGCCGGCAGACCGGGAAGTGGTTTGGTCTCGGGGGAGGCAGCTCTTCTCCCAGAACACGCTTCCTACCCAGCAGCGGGGAGGGGCCTAGCCCGGGGCAGCTGGACCCTCGTTCAGACAGGGCGGGTGAGCGGCCTGACGCCCCTCCCTGGAAGGAAGTCCTAGAATGGGGATGGAGACTCAGGTTTGCTGCTGCTGGACTGGGCGGCTCGGAGGAGGTGCGTTGGGAGTGACTGGCACCCTGAGGGCATCTCTACCCCCTCCCAGCGCCAGGGGTGGGTGGGGTGGGGACCTGCTGAAATGAAGCGGGGAGGGAAGGGCGCAGCACCAAGACCACGGGGCCAGGCTGCTGTGCAGGCCACGCAGGCCTGGAAGGTCAGAACTGGCTGGTTGGGAACGCAAATGAAGACACTTCCGGTTTTGCTCCAGGATTTGGGGTGGGTTTCCAAGGAGGCGCAGACACGCCAGACGCCTGTCCTGCCTTTGGGCTGCGTGGTGGAGAGTGTGGTCTGTGGAGCGGGTGGACGGGGTGCGGGAGGCGCTGTTCTAACTGCTGGGGGTGGAGTGCACGGCAGAGATTAAGGTTGGTTTTGCGTGTGTGTAAACATCTGATACGTGTCCAAGGTTTTGCACATCTGCTACCCAATTGGAGGCTCCCAATAAATAACCTTTAGCTAGAGGTGGGGCAGAGCTATTTAACCCCTTTGACAGATAGGGGAAACTGAGGCACAGAAAGGGCCAGGCTTGTCCACATTCGAGCAGGGAACGGGTCAGGCAGCTGGAACCAGAATCCCAGCTCCCCAGCTCCGGGCCCAGGGCTCTTTCTGTGTCCATGTCGTCGGGGAGAGTTGGGGCCGTCACAGCGCCGAGACGGGGCTGGCGGGCTGGCAGCAATGGTGTGGTCCTTCTGGGCAGCGCCGCAGTGGCTTAGCTGCTGCAGCCGTGCGAGCAGGCGTGGGTGAGAAGGTTGTTGTTGCATCCGTCTTGGAGCTTGCCCTGGGCCTGGCTCCCGGCCCGGCCCTCGGTGTCCAAGAGCTGGCCGCTCGGCCCCTGCTGCCTCCTCAGCCTGGAGCAGACACAGCACAGAGTTAGTGATGGGAGCGGGTGCAGCGGGGGGTCTAGGAGGCACCGGCAGGCAGAGTGACCGAGGGGCCCACCCACACCAGCCTCTGGCCTGGGGACATGGGACCTCCGGCTGCCAAGGGGCTCGGGGGCTGTGCCTGGCACTAGGAGGGCCTGGAGACAAAGCCCCACATGCTGGTCATTCACTTGACACGGTCTCGGTCTCTGTCCAGTGGAGATGGTTCTGCCTCCTGGAGCCGTGTGATGTGTGGAGATCACCGGTGTGATCCGCCGAGGGCACACGTCAGTGAAGGCAGTCGGTCACGCACTCATCATGTCATTCACTCCTCATGTCATTCGGTCCGTCCAGACACCACCGGGTACCCGCCCTGGCCGGGGGGCAGAGGCAAGGGGCCAGCGACGCCGTCGAGATGCTCAGTCCTCGGGAGCCGGGCCTCTGGGCGGGGGGCAGCTGCCCATCAGATTGCCCCACGAAGATGCTCAGAGACCCGCACCCACACTGCGTCCTCCGCGAGGGCCGTGGGGGGTCTGCTGCTGGCGGCCCCTGCCCGCCGCCCCTGCGTGAGGGAGCGCTCAGCCTCCCGCCTCCGGGTCGTGGGGCTCAGGGGCACGCCGTTGCCCACAGCTGCCCCTGCAGGTGCGCGGTGCGGGCCGAGACCACGAGGAGACGCTTCAGGAGGCGGGGAGCGAAGACCCCGGCTCAGACCCCGGCTCGGACCCCGGCTGACGACTCTCGTCACTGGGCCCTGGCGCGGGGGCATCCTGGGGGTGTGCTGGGGCCGGGGCTGCGGCTGGGCTCACGCCAGCCGTGCGGGTCGGGGCCCCTGCTCCTGGCGCCCACCCTGCGCCGTTCGCGGGGCCTGAGAGGCAGGGAGCAGGGGTGGCTCTTCCTGCTCGGAAGGCGCTGAAGGCTCCGCTGCCAAGAACGGAGTGGGAGGCCTCGGGGAGACGCAGCGCCTTCCCCCCGCCGCCACGATCTCGCTCGGGAGGAAACGAGCGCGGAGCTTAGTTCACGTCCCCTGGCGCGGACGGGCCCCTCATCTCTGCCCCGGCAGGGACACTGAGTTTTCTCAGCCAACCTATGAAATGAGGGCACGGCTCTGTGACCCGCATGCCGCCGACGGACGCGCGCGCTCTGGACCTCCGCACCCAACACGAGAGCGTGAAGGGCCCGGGTGGGGGGGGGGCACGGGGTTGGGGGGCGCACACATCTCAAAGGCACCACGCGGAGGAAAGCTGGACAGTCAGCAATGCTTAAGGAACGAAACGCAGCTACTGCGCGGGGAGGGGTCGGGGACAAGCTCCCGGGCGCCAGGGCCGGCTTCCATGGGCGTCTGGTGCCTCAGCACACAGAGCACTTTAAACTGCCCCAGGGCCTTCGCTCGCTGTCCTGACCATCCCGCCAGGGTGGCCGCGGGGTAGGGGAGATGCAGGCTTTGGCACCCCACAGCACGAAGTGTGCTTAGCATGATGCCCAGGGGTTCACCTCCCTAAACCCCATTCTCCGCAGTGCCTCCCCTGGGGCTCCCATCTCCTGAAGCAAGGTGGGGGGGGAGGGGGGGGGAGGAGGGCTGCCGCCTCCAGGCAATGCTCAGCTCCCAGGCTCTCCCGGGAGCAGCAGCAGCATTAACATTCTGGCTTTTGTCTGCTGTTGCCTGAGGCAAAAAACGTACTTGCGGAAACCTTGGGGTACAGTCCTGGGCCCTGGGTGTGCAGGAACAAAAGGTGTGGACTCTCCCCCTGGACTCTGCTCGCAGAGGGAGCAGCTCTGGGGATGCGGGTCCCTCCATGGGGGGCCTGCTGCTGGCAGCCCCTGCCCACTGCTCCTGCATGATGGGAGCGCCCAGCCCGTAGCTGCCCTGGTTCTGAGTAACAGGGGTTGAGGCAGTTGTGAGTCCTTGTTCAGCACCTCAAGTCACACCTGCATCCACCCTTTGAGGAGGAGCTGGTACCCCCGTCCTGGTGCTGAGAGAGGGCCCAGGGGACGAGCAGTGTAGGAGGTCCCCGGGCTCTCAGAGGGGACAGAGCCCCAGCTCCAGCACTGCTCGTCCCCAAGTTCCTGGGTCAGCAATGGGCTGTGACGCATCGCTGCCCCCAGCAGAGCTCTGTGCCCACGCTCCCCGGGCACACTCCGGCAGCGCCAGGAACAACGCTGTGAGCTTTGCACCAGGCTTCCGAACCCCCCTCCATGCCTCCTTGGTCGCTCAGAATAACCCACAGGGAGGCAGAGCTGCCCGTTTGCTTTTATCCCCGTTTTGGGCACAGAAGTTTTAGATTCAGAGACCTGGGGTTTTGTGGCCAAGGCCACATGCCAACCAGCAGCAGAGCCAAACTGAGAGCGGGGTGAGGGGGTGTCTTTCTAGCTCCACTTTTCCAAACTCTGGAGGCTAAAGCAGGGTGTCACAAAGCTAAAGCTTTGCACACAATTTCAATGAACACTGTTAAAAAGAGCAACAGCCCCAAAGGGGAGGTGCCTGTGCTGTGTCCAGTTGCCCCAGAGGAGGTCTTCCTGGTCAGTAGGAGCTTCGCTGGGCTTTGGGGCTCAAAGTACAGATCTTTCCATGTAGGTCTTTCAAATGAAAGTTCAAACATCTTTTCCCCAAATGTGCTCTGCAAATGTTTGAACGAGAGGCGTCATCTCTGAACTCGGGAGTGCACCCCTGCCCCCATCTGTTCTGGGGGGATGAATGGAGCACAGGGGTGTTGCTGGGGATCCCTACGTGCTCCAGGAGTGCTGAGCCAGCCCTGGGATTTTCAGGTGGGCTGTGACTCACGCGCCCCGAGTGGAGTGGTCCAGGACGGGCCATTCCCCCCGGCTATCTCCCTAGAGAAGGGATGACGGCTCGAGCTTGCCATTAGTGCAAACTACTTGGAATGGAATATGGAAAACCACGTACAAGAGCTTCGGCCACTGCCCCGAGGCTGCCCGTGACCGCAGGCACATCACGTACAAAACAGTCAACGTGCGGTGACTGCATTCACTAAAACCACTATTTTACTTCTGCCAAAATCAATTGCTTTCAATTACTCTTATATTTATTTACTTTACATAATTTGCTGGTAAAACACCTTCTCTGATAATAACAGCCACGCTTAGGATTTTGTTGGCAACTTGGGAGAAGCCCAGGGCACTGCCAACCTCCTGTGCTAGAGGGCGCAGCCATCCCCCAGTGCCCCCCCGACCAGGAGCCATCACTGGGGCTTCAGCAGCACGCAGGGGTCCTCTCGGCTTGGGGGCCTGGAGTCTGCACCCAAGCGTCTGCTGGGCTCTGGGGAAAACTCCCCGGCCTCGCCAGTTCTGGAGGCTGCCAGTGCTGTGCTGGGTTTTTGAAATGTAATATTTTCAAGGGCTCCAAACATGGTAAGTGGTTTCTTTCTTTGAGAAATGACACAGATGGAAAATGCAGCTCCTCAAACTTCTTTTGCACCAGGGGCTTCTTATTCTATAAAACCCTGGCCTCTGCTCTTGACAAGACCTTTTGGAAGCATCATCGCTGCTCAGAGCTTTGCCCCAGAACAGTACAAGTCCACAGCGCATTTCTCAAGCTAACGGGGCTGCAGCTGCAGAGCCGTCAAGGCCAGGCCAGTCCCTGGAGCCACGCGCTACCTGGCTCAGTGGCCTTTTGCCAGCTGAGACCATTCGCCGAGAAGCTGCATTTCCAGGAAATTAGGCTAATTTAAATTTTGCTGTTTAGAAACTGAGGTCCAGAGAGGCTGGAGCCACGGCACCTGCTTCCCAGCTCCCCCCATGGGCAGTGAGCGCAAGAGGACACTACCTGTTCCCCCAGCTCCACCAGTGTCCCTGGGGCCCCTGGGACACATCTGTGGAAGGACATCTCGGGAGCTGGTGCTGCCCCTGCCAGGCACGTCTGCTAAGGGCAGCTTCTTCATCCCATGGGGGGCTGGAGGGGGATTTCCTGCTGCCACCTGGAGGGGCTTTTACATGGCAGGTGGGGAAAGGATATGGGAGTGGCATGGCCCAAACATACCTGTCCTCAGGGGAGCCCCTCAGGGAGCAGAGGCCGGGGTACAGAGGCGGCCTGTGGCTCAGGGTCCACGTCCCCAGCTCGCCTGCCCACCAGGCTCTCTGTGCCGAGACCCTCCCCCACTGGAAACCATGGCGTTGCTCTGCTGCCTCGTGGTAACGGGTGCCAGCCTCACTTCAAATCCACGACCACAAGTCTCTAAGGGGCCCTCAGCCGGCTGGTGAGACCCCAGCTCCCTAATCAATTCTCTTTCCCATGGGGGAAGAGCCTCTGTCACTCGCTGGCATTCATCCCTCTGCCCCCCGGAGGCCAACACTGCAAGCCCAAGGCCCAGAGCAGGGCTGGTCAAGTGGGAATGAGCCGCCAGCACCCACTCCTGAGCCTCCTGTCTGAGTCTGCTAACAAATCTGTCACAGCCATATGAACCCCCAGTTACTGACATGGCCAGGACCGGCCTGGCCACACCCCACGCCAGCGCTGCCCCCCTTCTGCCAGGCATGTGGCGGGGGTCTCGGCGCAGTCACGTCACCACACCCCTTCAGCATCACCACCGTAACTTCCCTGCTGCCATCCCTGCTGGCCACACAGTGACAGCCCCTTCCCGTCCTCCAACGACGGCTGTAGGGACATGACGTCCACTTCACCCATGCTGAGGGGCAGTGAGCCCAGCTCCCTCACCCAGGCTGGGGCAGATGCTGCTCCTCAGAGCTCGGGGGCCTGACTACTGCAGCAGCTTCCTGCTGAGGTTCCCTCAGCCCCTGGGCCCCGTCCCCGGGAGGGGGTGCTGGGGCCTCCTCAGTCAGGAGGCAGAGGCGGGGCTGGAGCAGGGGCGTGGGCAGGGCTGGCTGCTCCTCCTGGGAGATTGTGCTGGGGGCGCCCTGCCTGAGAAGGTGGGGGGGACTTACTTTTCTCTGTTGAAGATGATGAAGTCCTTGCGCACGGCCTCCAAGCACTGCTGGAGGTGTCCGTTCTGTGGGAGAGCAGAGAGCACTGTGAACTCGAGCGGCAGCGGCAAGGCCAGCATGAACAGCCGGGTCCAAACCCGACTGGCGGCTGATGGGGGCTGGGCCCTGGCTGGGGCAGCCCTGCGTGGGTGGGCCCCGAGGCAAGTGCTGCCAACCCCAGGCCCTCGCTCTGTCTGAAGCTGTTACCTCGGACTTAAAAGGCATTTTAAGTGGGGGAACCTCCCAGGCCACCCCGGAGGCTCACCCCTCAGAGGCTGCCTGCTGGTTGGATGGGGCTGCCGGCCACGCGATACCCCCACTCCTGGCACCCCCAATAATGCACCCAGTGTGGCCAGCACCTTCTGCACCCAGCACAGCAGTCCTGGGCCGAGCACCAAGCTTCTGGGGGCTACAGAGATGTTTTCATGTCTTAAAATAAGCAAGGGGGGAACGTGAACTTTCAGCAGTGACGTTTACGTTCATCTTCACGCAGATGGAGCCAGGAAGTGTAACCTTCAATCGTTTGTAAGGTAGAAGGGGGGTCCTGTGGCGCCAAGCGTGCCCCTCCTCTAAGGTCTGGCATGGTGAGAAGGGGCTTATCTGGAAACGGGGTCTTCGCAGATGTCACCAGTCAAGAGGAGGTGAGGGCGGAGAGCTGGGCCCTCAGCCCCAGGATGGGGGTCCCTGTGAGGAGGCCGTGTGGAGACCCAGGCGGCAGACGGGCCTGAGAACACGGAGGGGCGGACGGAGGCAGCTCCAGCCAGGGTGCCCCCGCCCCGTCCCTGCCCCGGGGTCTCCTGGCCGTACTCACCAGGGGACAGCTGGCCTTCGTGCCGTCCTTGGAGCGGCTCTTGGCCAACCTTTTCTTCTTTTTGTGAAGCGGCTTCGACTCGAGAATCATTTCTTCCAGTTCAAATGTGGGATCACAATTCAACCTCCCTTTCTGAAGACAAATGGAACTTGGTTTGTCTTTGTTCTGCCTGTCATAGCATTTCTCACTCATTCGTTCATTCGTCCATTCAACAAGTGAGGCTAACGTGACTGGGATACAGCAGTCACAGCCTTCACATACTCATTCATTGCTGCCCCCAGCCGCACCAGGTTAACACCCATGGGGTTCCTTAGTTTCCTTCCACGCACGTTCACGTCACAGGGCTGCACACATGCACATTTTCTCACATGCACATTCTCATGCCACACGCCATGTTTCTGTAAATTTCACGCTGAACGCGTCCACGTGAAATGCCACGGCGGGTCAAACTTGCGCAGTCCCCGCCCTGCTCCTGCTCCTGCTCCTGCTCCTGCTCGCCGACGGCAGGGGGTGCTGGCCTGGCTGCCGAGGGCAGGGCCCACTCACTGTGGTCAGGAGGGGTGTGGACTCTGGTGGCCGGCGGGCCTGCACCCGAGGCCTAGCTCGGGGGCCAGTCTCTTCCGGCAGGACAGCCTAGTGCTTACAGCAGCAGCCGTTCTGAAGATGCCCCGGGAAGCCCCAGTTCTGCTCCCTCTGACTCTGGACAAGCTCTTAATTTCCTTCAGACTCAGCTCATCAGCAGCAGAGTCTGGATAAGAATCCCTCCCTCGAAGGAGATTAAGTAAATCCACCTCTGCAAAGCGCTTCATTCGGATCAAGTGAGAGACTTCCTTGGTGGTGGATCCCGCAAGGGGGGCCCGCTGCGCGCCAGCCGGGGGAAGGAAGCAGCCTCCGGCGGTCCAACCTGCCTGGGCCGACTGCTCAGGACTGGCTGGCGCCTGCACCCCAGGGGCCGGAGCCAGAGCCACGGCTCTGCACACGGAACCAGGGCAAGCCCTGACATTTCAACTGCCCGGCAAGGCCTCTCTGGCCTCAGCCCCGTGACCTGCAATGAGGCAGACCTTCTGGTGCGTGAGGCGGGGTGGGAGATGCAGAGACACTGCTGACCCGGCCCCTGCCACACAGTCGGGGCCCGCACGCGAGAACCACGGTCCCTGATGCTGTGCTACCAGCTGACGGGGTGGGAATAGAGCGCCCCTTTCCTTTCCCAGTCCCAGGGGGCCCCACGTTTCCACTGGACCTGCTCTGAATCCTTCCTGGGGGTTTCAGCACCGACAGCTTGTTTTTCACCCGCCTGCATCATGCTCTTCCCACCTCCAGCTTCTGGAGCTCCACCGAGACGCCCCTTCCCTGGCCTCCACCGCTCGCCCCTCCCCAGGAGCAGGGCAGCCTTCAGGCCCAGAGGAGAATCTGCCATCCACCCCCACATCCCTGCGCCCGCCACCCCTCCCCACCCACGCCCCAGCCATCCATTCCCCACCCACCCTTCATCGGCCCACCTGCCCCTCTCCCCACCCATGCACTCCGAGGCGGGCTCTGGAACTACAATGCCTGGGGCCCAGCCCTAGACCCGTCAATTCCTTGCTGGGGAACCACGGGCGAGCACCCCGAGGACACCAACTTGTGCAGAGAAACTAGCAGGGCCCGCAGCCCGTCGTGAAGAAGCTTCTGTCAGATAATGCACGTGGAGTTTGGGACGTCGTGCTCAGTCCTGCCGGCTGCTGCCACTCACCCTCTCGTATTGACGTGACAAACACACACTGAGGGCCTCTAGTGCCTTCGAGGGCCCCCTACGTTCTGGGGCCTCTCAGGCAGAGGCCACCCTACTTGGCCTCGCCCTCTGAAGCTGGGGGTGAGGGTGGGGGTGGCATACGTCACAACACACCCAGCTGCTTCCACAGACCTGGGCGCCTGTCCAGCGACCAGAGGGCGGCCGTCCAGCCACGCAGAGGTGGTGGGGCTGCTGGGGAAGGGTCCCGGGGTGGGGATGTTGAGTTTTCCTCTCACCCAGAGGGCAGACCCTCAAATGGGAGGGGTGGGGTGAGGCGGGGGACACAGAGACGAAGGAGGGAGCAGAGGTGCGGAGCCCAGGACGCAGGAGCTCCCAGGACGGCAGCAGGCATGGGTCGGCTGGGTACGCACGAGTGTGTGCAGGAGTGAGTGTGCACGGGGGGGGGGGGGCGTGCAGGAGTGCCTGCCTGCGGGGTGCGTAGGGAGTGGGCGTGCACGGTGTCTGGGGAGGAGCTCAGGCCAGGGCTCCCGGTCAGGGCCACACTCACGTTGGGCACAAAGCCGGGCGCCAGCGCCTTCTCCAACACCGCGTCCCAGTTCACGTCGGCCAGGTAGGGCGCACTCTGGACGTCGCCCAGGCTGGACAGGCGGCTCTCGGGGTCCTTGGTCAGGAGCTGTGGGAAAGCGTACAGGGCTGGCTCGGGCTGTGCCCTGCAGGGGGTGTTGGGGCTCCGCAGGCGGCATCTGGCTGAGGGCTCTGCCTTTCACACCCTGTTTGCTCCTGGCCCCGTGTGATGGCTGCCCCGGGGGTGTCATCCGTGTTCACGTCTTCACAGCCAGAAAGGAACAGGGCGGCCAGGCCACTCAGCAAGGTCAGTTACGGGGGCCTCTAGGAAGGGGCCCGGTTTTCAGGTTCCCTGTTTCTCTCTGGGCCCAGTGCTCTGAGATAGGCCACCGCCCCAACATCTGCAAAGGCCCCCAATTAGAAATAAAAAGGATGAGTCTCCTCATCATCGGCCTTTTGGCCTGGTAACAGGCATCTGAAAGTCAGGAGGCAACCTTAGGGCCTGATGAAATGTCTCACTTGTAGCCAAGGGGGCAATTCTTTGCTTCCCCTCAGGAAGGATTTCTGCTAATTAGGGGCAAGGCCATGGAAAAGGCTGTCGTGGAAATGATCTTGCTCCAAGCAGGCAGGACCCCGCCCCGGAGGGTCGGTCTGGGGTGAAGCCTGAGAACCTGCATTTGGGGAAACCTCCCTCGATTGTCATCAGCCTCTCCTGGGAAAGCCAGGGCGCCTGAGCTCTTGAGCTCAGCCGGGGGAAAGACCATTTGCAGCAAAGAATGGTAAAGAGCAGCACGCAGTAAGGAGCTCCCTCTTCCAGGTGCTCTCAGTGGGCTGAAAAGTGCCCGAGGCTGCGCTGTCAGTGGCTCTGCAGAAGCCCTGGCATCCAGAGGCGCTGCTCCCGGGCCAGACCCGCCCCAGCAGGGGAGGGTTCAGCTCGCTTAGCTTTTCCCACCACTGTTTCTCCAGTGGTGATTCTGGGGTCTGTGGGGCTGCTCCCACGCCAACCAGGCCAGCCCCCAGGCCAGCGGGCTGTGGCCGCCCCTCACCTTCCTGAGCAAGGTCACCATGCCCGAGCCCCACGCGGAGGAGTAGTGCACGCGCTCCACCTGGAACATGCTGAGGATCTCGTCGATGGGCGTGGCCGAGTGGATCTCGTACGGCCTCTGCAACAAGGGACAACGGCTGAATCAGAGCGGGGTGACCTCTGTGCCATGAGGGGGTACGTTTATGCTCCCGAACTCGGGGCAGTGGTGGGTGTTCCTCCTCACAGCAGAGTGGTGGTGGCCAGCAGTGACCACCCCTTAGGGCAGGGTGGGCACCTGGCAGCTGTGTCATCTGTGGGGGCCACGGGAGCTGCTCGAGGGACTCAGCAAGGCCACCCAGCTGGTGGCAGGGGCGGGATGCCCAGCCAGAGTCCCTGCTCTGGGCTGGGCAAGGGGAGAGGGCTCGCCGCCACCGGGCTCCAGCTGCAGCCTGCCTGAGGGCCGCGTGGGGCATGGGCAGGACCACGTCACCAACAGCTGGTCTGGCTGGGGGCAGGGGTGGGGAGAAGCCCACTCCCCACCCTCTGCCCCACAGTGAGGGTGCACCATAAACCTAGTGCCCGGGTTCCTGGCCGGTGAACTATCCCTTCTGATGGAGTGTTCTCAGTAGTGCCACGCAGCTTCTTGCTCCTAAGAACCAAACTTCCGGAAGTCTATCTTAACCATGACCTCATGGAGGCCGCTTGAAGAGTATCTGAGCACCAGCTTAGGTCCACTGACACCCCCTTCCACTCAGAGAAAAATTCTTCCTCTGTCTCTCTTACACACACACACACACACACACACTCTCTCTCTCTCTCTCTCGCCATCCATCCACCCTCCACCTGCTCTGTGGTCGGAGCTGCTTCCTGGTTCGCATCCCAGTCACATCCCCTTGGGCTAGAACAAGCAATCATTTCCCAAGCAGCAGTGGCATGAGGACTGAGCTGATCCCGCAGGAGCCTGGAGGCCCGAGTTCATGATTAATCCGCGTGAACCTGATTGTCTGGAATGGCTTCCAGCTGGGGGCTCCTCGCCCCTCTATCGTGCCTGTCTGTATTCTCAGCGTCCTGCGCAGAGGCTGCCATCCCACAAAGGTCCCAGGGCACAAAGGCAAGGCCAAGAGACCAGTCCTTCCGCTGGCCAGAACCCATACGGGGCGCTAAGAGGCACCTGAGGTGTGGCCTCCAATCTCACGGCCTTCAGTTCCCACGCACTGTTGCCAACCGGGGGTGGCAGCCTGAGGAGGGCAGGGTGGGGTAGGGGGCTGGGGTGGGCTCAGTGCCCTGGAGTGAAGGCACATTCCGCTGGAGGAAAAGCCTGCCCACAGGGGAGCGCCCATGCCTTCAGCTGTGTCCCCCAAGGAGAGGGCTCTCCCTGACTCTCCACCCTGTTACACCTTGTCTGGTGATTGAACCGGGAACTCCCACTTCTGCCAGGGACACACAGAGCAAACCCAAAGCCCGTGGGCTCCCCAGAGAGGCTAACTGTCCGACATGTTAACATTCTTCAAGTATGCCTTCTAACGTAAAAAAAAAAAATAATGGGAAGTAGAACACAGTTTTAAAACGAGCAATTCTAAATCTCCACCTGAAGTTGTGTAACGGCAGGAATGGGCCTGTAAATAGGGCAGGAAGGACACTGAGCAGGTTTCCTCATCCAGCAGACCCGAGTAGGAGGAGAGAGGCCTGGAGCCCTCAGTGGCTTTTGCAGGCTTTTATTGGGATTTACCAGGCACACGGCAGGCAGGGGTGCCAGGGGGCCGGGAGGCTGGCAGGTTTCCCAGCCCCCAGCAAGTCTTCACTCTTTCTGGGCTCTCCGGCCTTCTCTCACATTCTCTCTGCTCTTCCATTCCTTCTGCTTCTGCTGGTGTCTCCATGACGCCGCCCTTAAAAGCCCAGTCTTAGCCCAGGTGAATCCCATCTACCGAGCCCACACCCTATTCCAGGTGCCGGCATCAGGCATGCACTCAGGACCACAGGGTTCCCTCATCTATCCTGATGGCAGGAGGGCAGAAAAGCCTGACACTTTTACTTTACCCTACAGGCTGCTATCTGCTTTGCATTTGCATGACTCCCTTGCACGTCATCAGTTATAACAACTACCATAATCAGAAATAAAGGCAAACATTTATCGAGTGCACCTGTTAGGTACACGAAGCTCACAGAATCTGTTCGAGCTACTGTGCTAGAAATGACTGTTTCACAGAAGACAGACCGGAGGTGCCACACCTCAGAGCTGGGAAGCGGTGGCACTGGACTTAAAGCCCAGGTGGGCTCCTCTCTGACCACTGCCAAGTGGGTTGAATGGTTGAAACAGGTTAAATGGCCTAATTGCTCTCAGACGCCAGGCTCCTATTCCCAGGCACAGCAGAGGCCGGAATGCGTAGCTGCAAATGATACAATTTGAGCATGTGCAGAAGCAACTAACCTTGCGCTGGAGCTGGGAGGCCAGAATCAGATGGCCAGGGGTGGGCAGGCAGGGGTGGGGAAGAGGGGGCTGCCAAGCTGCACGGAGGGGAGGGGCCTGGCAATATAGAAAATCTAGTTATTTGAGGAAACCTTTCCATATATGGGCAGATTTTGTAACTAATAAACTTCAGCCAAGACACATTTTTAACCCTTAGACGATGAAATTGAACTACTTTGTCCCCAACCGCAGTCCCCAAAACCTCTATAACCTCATTTGTTTCTAAACAGTGAAGCAGACTTGAGTGTTCTTGCTGCCTCCTTGGCAACTAATTTACAATAAGGCTTTTTTCCCCTCTTTGCTCAAGATCCAGTGTCACAATACTGGTCTGCGTACACTGGGCAGCAAGCCCACTGTAGGATGGGGAAAATGTCAAGCTTTTCTGCCCTTCCGCCATCAGGATGGATGATGGATCCTTGCGGTCCTGAACGCATGCCTAATGGCGGCACCTGGAGTAGGGCGTGGGCCTAGGTAGATGGGATTCACCTGTTCTGAGACTGGGCTTTTAATGGCGGCGTCGCAGGGATGCCAGCAGCAGCAGAAGCCGAGCAGAAGCTGAAGAGAAGCCGAAAGAGAAGAAGCCCGAAGCAGAAGCTGAGACTGCCAGCCTCCCAGCCCCCCAGCCTGCCACGTACCCGCTGAACCCCAATAAAAGACCTGCAAAAAACCACTGAGGACTCCGACTCCTCCTTTACCCGGTCTGCATGGGATCAGAGAACCTGCACTGTGGTCATTCCTGCCCTTACACCCACCGCTCAGTAGTGTCCCCTAGATTCATATCTTGAGCTCCTAACCCTTAGTACCCCACGTGACCTTGCTGGGAGAGTGGGTGTGTACAGGTAGCCAAATGAGTCACTCTCCCTAATTCTCCCCACGTCTAGGTGGGACCAGACCAAGATAATCATGAAACGTCCCTAAACCATGACAAGACGGCAGCTGCATGCATTCAGAAACACTTGGAATACGGTGAGCAAAATAACAAACTACAGCTTCTGGGACTCCAGGCTCAGGTTCCCTCTGTTGGGTGGTTGTAGAGAAACCCAGGTCCTTTGAAGAGGACATAGCTGACCCTTGGCAACAGGGTCCATTTATATGCAGATTATGTTTCTCTCCTGAGGTTCCCGCACGACGCTCACAGCGCGAGGACGCAGAGGACCAACTACAAGGGCCTTGAGCGTCCATGGATTTTGGTGCCTGAGGGGGGATCCTGAAACCATTCCCTTGCTGATGCCAAGGCGCGACTGTAGTTAAGTTTGGGGGGATCCACAGTTATACTCAGATTTTTTTTGGAAAGGTGTGCTGTACTCCAAACCCCCATGCTGCTTAAGGCCAACTGGATTGGAAAACACTGAGATCAATATTGCATCTGCTGGTGGTAAAGAATTCTACTTAGGCTTTGCTCTCACTCATTGGCTTAGGCTGTGTTGACTCAGAAAACCAAGTGGTATTTATAAGGGAAAGAAACTACACGAACTGCAGGTAGAAGAGATTCTAGCAGCAGGCACCAGAGAGACTCATTATGGAGCGCAGGTGTGTCTCCATTCCAAGAAACTCAGTTTACAAAAAAAATGTACCAAGAAACAGAAGAAAGAGGAAAAGAACCTCCATAAACTTGTTACTCTGGCTGGTAGAGCTGCGCTGGGCCTTGGGGACCATCTAATCTAATGTTTCTTTTCCAAAACCTTTTTACTCAAACCCCAAATACAGAATAGATGAACGTGAAAATCCGTTCTGGGGCTATTTAAACCTCCGAAGCTTGGACAGAGTTTTCTTCCCATAGACCTGTGGCATCACCCCTTCAGGGTCCCAGAGTTCCAGGAAATAGCTTAACACAGCCCAAGAAGGCCTCTGGCCTTCCCCTGTGGAGACGCAAATGTATAGGAGGGGGTCACCGAGCCCCTTTCCTGCCATTTTTGACCCCTGGCTAGTGGTCTCTTTGCTTGTTGCACCAGGGGGTGAGAAGCCAGGGCTTGACCCAAGGGCCCCGTGGGTGCTGAAGGTGGGGGGATCTGTCAGGGGTTGGGGGGGAGGCCAGGAGGTGGGGACAAAAGACTTGATAAGATCTGTAAGTCCCTTCTCTGGGGCGAGGGTTGAGAGCTTCTCATGCCCTCCGGCAGCCAGGGTCTGGGCACAGAGAGAGGTGGGGTCAAGGCCTCGTCCAGGCTGCAAGACCCCGCCCGCTTCACGGCACCTCCGTGCTGAGACCCCGGTTCACTCGACGCCCACCCTCTGCTATGTGGGTCAGGCCTCATCACCGCACCCCGGGGAACACCCAGGGGAAGGACAGCTTCCAGGTCCGCATGGCCCGTGGGTGTGGGAGTGCTTTCCTGTGGCTCTTTTTGGCTAGATCAGTCCACTGGGGGGCTGGGAGGTGCCCCCAGGAGTAAGTGGGATCACTGCCGTTGCTTGTACTACGGGGTATGACGATGCTTATTTGTGCTGACCGGACACTACCGGTTTACAAACTGCTATCCCCGCTCACTCCCTCACTCCCTCACCATCGCTGGAGGCCTTGAGGGCGGGTCTGTGGTGGCAGCAGCTGTACAGAGGCCCGTGGGACCATGTCAGAGAAGCAGCGAGGGCCGGGCTGGGCTCTGCTAGCTGCCGGCGGGCACTGGAGCCGAGAGGTACAAGGCGCATAAAACCGGTGCCTGGCGCAGAGCCCACGGCCCGGGTGACCTCAGCCCAGGAGCAGGAGCAAGGATGGGGCTTCCCGCCGCGGTCCCGAGGGGTGACATCAGCCCAACAGCCCTCGTGCGGGGCGAGCGTGCCTGGGGGTGCGCGTCGTCCCTGCTGCGGAAGTGAAAACCTGAGTCTGGAGGCCTCGCATGGCAGCCCCCGGCGCGGTCAGCCACTGACCTTCAATGAAATTAAACGAGAACAGACTGGCCCGCCCTTATGGGGCTGCGGGGAGAGGAGCCACCCCAGGAGTAAGAGCTGGAAGGGACAGAAGTGGCCTGGCCAGCGCCCTCCCCACCTCCCCCCTCCCCCGTCCCGCGTCTTACCCAGCCCCGCAGCAGCTCATAGGCCGTGACGCCCAGGGACCACCAGTCGACGGGGTACGAGTAGCCGGGGCCGCCGTCCGCGTACACCTGGAACACTTCTGGGGCTGCCGAGGACAGGACAGGACAGAGCGGTCACCACACCGCCCCCCACACCCCCCGCCCCATGGCCACAGCCTCTGCCATCAGCGGGCCCTGCCTCCAGGAGCCGCGGGGAGCAGCCTGCAGCACCCCGGGGGACAGTGACACCCAGCACAGACACGGGAGCACCCCAGGGTGCTGTGGGTGGGTGCAGGGAGTGCAGGCTGTGAGTTTGGGGGAGCATGAACTGTGGCCCGCATGGGGAGCAGATGGGGCAAAGTCAGAACTAATATGCTGACATGCTGTCCCCAAGGGGCTGAGAGCCTCGAAAAACATGTTTCCAGCAGCAGACCCTGGCCAGGCATCCCGCCAGCGGGGAGCCGATCTCGGGAAGCATTTTATTTTGGCCTAGACGGGATCCGATATGCCATCCCCAGGAGAGGGGAGCAGAGACGGAAGGCAGGAGGGGCTTCCGAGGGCTCGGGACAGAAGGCAGCAGCATCCGGCGTCCTGGCCGAGGCAGGCAGGTGGGCACGCGGCAATGTGAACGCAGCTTTGAAAAGACAAAGTCGATGCTATGCAAATTTCATCTTGATTAAAAAAAAAGGCGGGGAGGATGGACCCAGGGGTGGGGATCTTGCTCTTCAGGGGCTGCAGGGCCTGGGGACCTCTGCTGCTCTGTAACGGGGCACACAGTGTGACATCATCTCGTTGCCTCACCCCTGCTCACTGGGCCCAGGGAGCTTCCTGGCATGTCGTGGCCCATACAGCTTCCAGGGAAGTGGTGCAAAATGCGGATCGTTTCCTGCAAATTAATTTGCAGCCATAATTCCATTTTACAGTTGTCAGAGTGGCCACAGCCGACCCGGGTGGTGAGAGACGGCTCCGTGCAGATCTCGGGCTGGCATCCGGAGGGCGTGGGAGGGCGTGGGTCCAGGTTTTAGGACCCAGACCAGATCTTATTTTGCCCATGGGGGCTCTTCAACCCCTTACTCCTCTGCAGGCCCGTCCCCTGCCCCTCCTGGGCGAGCACATCAGTCCGTGTCCTGGATTCTCACCAAACCCGTGTCTTAGCTTGCAGCGCTCACCATGCTGGATTTTAACTAACCGTAGATGTGTCCATCTCCTCACCGGGCTGTAGCGCTTTAAGAGCAGAGATACAATGAAGTCAGCCCAGGTCCCAGGGACGAGCAGGAGCTGGTCTGGAACCAGATGCACAGTGCTTGGGGGTCATAAGAAGCTTAAGTCCCAGGGCCCGGGTATCCCCCCTCAGGGCGACCCTGGCCGGCAGAGGCTGCACTTGACCTCTGTGAAGTCGCAGGGTCCAGGGTCACCATCGCCCACCCCCGCAGCGAGATGCTCTCAGCACAGGCGCTGACACCGAGCAAGGTCCCGGCATCGCAAGCTGGTTCCTGTGATGTCAATTCATTACTGAATCAGAAACAAAATGCACGCCTAAGTGGAAGCCAGTTCACGGGGAACATGGGGGACAGGTCCCCGAACGCTACCAGTGCTCGTCATGGCTGCATTACAGCGAGGTGGAGAGCAGAGATAAGCAGCAGCCTGGCTTGGCCGGGGTCCCGGCTGGGTGCTGTCATTCCTGTTCCTTGGCTCGCGGGCGGGCAGATGAGCTCAGGTGTCACACTCACATTAATTTGAGATGAAATTGCTCCATCAGGCTGATGTTAATGCTAGAAGCATTAATAGCAACAGAAAACTGATTTCATTAGACACCGCCGGCTGGCGAACATTAGGCCTTCGCGCCTCTGCCGGGGAGGGGCGGGGGGCTGAGTCCGTGAACAAGCAGACAGAGGCCTGAAGTGGCCGAGGCAGCAGCGCCTGGAAACCAAGTCACCTTAAGCATGGAGGCTGCAGCGCTTAGATTAAAAATAAAAGACTTCAGGAGCAGAAATATCCTCAGAGCCAGCGATGCCGCTGCCAGGGATTTGTCCGCAGAGTATAAAACGCTGGCTGAGAAGACACCGGCGCCACCATGTCCACTCGGCTCTTCACAGCCGCCGAGAGAGGACTCGACCCAGCAGCCACGCGGGGACGAGGCGCGCCACGCGGGGGGAGCAGCGCGCAGCCGTGTGAAAAAGGAAGGGCTGCCTTTGGCGATGGCACTCAGGGGCGTCCGAAAGTAACAGACGATCGTGATGATCATGATGGTCTCACGCGCTCGTGGATGTAAGAAACTCGAGAGCGCGAACCGGAAAGACACAGAAAAGTAACTCTGAGCTCAGAGAACCAGGGTGGCCGCCAGAGAGGATGTGGGGGGTGGGGAGCTGAGTTTCGTAAATAAATCGTAAATCAGTAAAATTTGATTTAGTAGAAAAGACCTCTGGGAGTTTTCCCAGTTGCCATGGAAGAACGTGCTCTCAGAGCCAAGGGTTCGAAGCAGCCAATACGCGGGGCGGGGGGCGAGCATCGGACCCGCACGTCACGCTGAGAGGAGGCTTGTGAGAGGGAGCCGCGCTCCTGAGACATCCCAGAGTCTCTGTTTATCCGCGACAATGGCTGTTCCTCCCGGCGTCCCACTGGGCCAGCCCCAGAAACAGGCAGCTGCGAGCTTCGACCTGGTGCAGCCCCGCACGCTCGCCCACCGCGGCCCGGCTCCTCTCTGGGTCTCCTTCCCTCGGTCCCGCCGGCTTCCTCTTAGCACTTCCAGGGGCCACGCGCCTCCCTGCCTGGGGCCCGGGCCTGCGCAGCTCCAGCCCCTGCGCTGCTTCTCCACCTGCTAATAAACAGCAGCTGCTCGCCCCGAAAACGCAGCTGAAGGTACATGCACAGCAAAGTAGCTCTGACGCCCCCAGCGATGGGTAACCGTGCACCCACTGCTGCCACATCGGAGGCCATCGCATCCCGCACAGACCTCAGACAGTTACGCTTTGTTCGACTGTGGGCGCTGGACAGTCTGACTGCCGGCTTAGACATGCGAAAGAGCTAGATCTCTGACCAAACCATCACTTTTCTTGAACCCCACTAGCCTGAGCAAGGAAGAGGAGCTGGCGCCCCTGGGCACTGCAGGAAGTAGGCAGGGCCTCCCTAGAGAGAGGACGAGGAGGCTGCTGGCAGCTCTCAAGGGCTGGCTGGTGGCGTGCGCAGGCTTCAGGGACAGAACAGATCTCCCTGTCCAGACACCGGAGTCTGTGCCCCTTCACAGGCCCTGCCCTACAGTCCCCCTGCGACTGGGGGCCAGGGTCGGGGTTCCCTTGGGGTGCAGGACCTGGGAGCAGAGCGTACTGCCCCGGAGTGGAGCCGGCCGGCCGGGAGCCCTGCACAGCCCCTGGAGCGAGCCCACAGAGGAAGGCGCAGGCCCTGCCGCCACCAGAGCACCATGCACTCCCGGAGGGCAGGTCAGGCGCAGAACACCGAGTCTCCGTCCGCCACGGGAGGGCAAACTGTGCTGAGTTCTGACAGGCAATGGCTCTCACCCCAGGAGGGATGGAACTGATGAGCGACCCTCAGGCAGGGGACTGTCCGATCTGCTCTGGGTTCCTGGTGCTCAGCATGGGCCACAGACGCAACCACAGATGACCACGGCAACAGCCAAGCCAGCAGCCGGAGCGAGTGTCCAGCACGTCAGGCGTCACGTCCTGCAGCTCCCATCTTCTGTTGCTAAATCCTCGCGATGCTGGGCCCCAACTCTGCAGGCCCCTTTCTCAGATGGGAGGCTTGAGCGACCTGGGGCCTGGGCGCAGCCCCTCTTGTGCACTCACCAAGCTGAGCGCCCGCATCCACCCTGCCAGCCTGCGAGCCCCACCCAGTCCACGGCCCGCGAGGGGCCCACCCTCTCGCCCCGGCACCTGGGGAGCTGGCCCTTCCTACTTGGGTGACCCCTGTGCTTCTCCAAGGTCACACATGAGGCTGATCTGTGAGTTTGATCATGAACCCCAGCCTTGAACTCTCCCTGGTTCCCAGGCCCTTGGCCCGGCACCGAAGCCCCCACACTCCCTGCCTCTCCCTCCCACCACCTCTTGGATAAGCTGCAGGGGTGCAGCTGTTCCTTCCCCCGTGCCTCCCGCTGTCTCAGCCCAGAGGAGCAGATTCCACCAGACTGTTGGGGTGTCTTCCACTTGCTTACCTCTGTACCTTCACCCTAGCCGTTCCCTCTGCTTAACACGGCGCCCCTCCCCCGTGCCGGGCTGGCTAACGAGCACACTGCAAGGCCTGCTCAGACGGTCGCCATCTCCGAGACACGTCCCGACAGTGACCACGCATCCGGGCATCCAGCTGGCCGGCGACCCCGAGGTCCAGGTCACTGGCTCATCTGTGAGCCCCGGTGCCTGCCGGAAGGCTGCTCCTCCCGGGCCTCCAGGAGTGTCTGCTGCGTGACGCTGAGCTCTGCACCTCGCCCCACATGAGTAGACTCGGAAGCTGGCGGCTGCTGCCGAGCATTTCTGACGCCTGATGTGGAGCTTTGCAGAGAGATTTTCATTTCTCTGATTGCGAATTCCATCTGCTCTTTAATTAAGGAAAATTCAGTTCCAGGCAAATGTTTCTTCTGGGATCATCCTTCACGAGCGACCTTTGGGAGCTAACTCATCAGCCTGTCCCCTGGATCCACGTCTGGAACATTCTGGGGATGTGCTGTGGGCCCCGGAACTGCTCAGCTTAGACGGACAAGATCAACAGCCAGCCCCCCACCACCAGGGATCCAGGGCCGGAGCTGCAGGCTTCCTCTTCATGGAGAGAGCTCCCCCTCTTTCTTCAAAAGCCCCTGCGCCCCACTGCCTGGCACTGTCAGCCCCCACTGTGAAATATTAATGACACAAGGAGTAGATTCTGAGGAAATGATGACATAATGCTGATTCTCCTCGCACCCACAGGCGAGCCTGACAGAGCAGGTAAACAGCGAGGCCAACCCCCCGGTCAGCACCCAACAACACAAAGCTGTCCCACAAGCCCCAAAACACGAGCAGGTGGGAACAGACCAGCAACAGGGACAAGACATCCACGAGTGACTCCCGAGGGAGACAAAGGGGCAAAGAAGGCAGCCTCTGGCAACGCAGGGGAAGAGGCTCTGGAGCCAGCAGGAAGCCACGGGCAAGCGCCAGCGGTTTGAGAACAGCAGCTGAGCGGAGGGTGGCGAGGCCGCCCCAGGGGGGACAGGCTGCCACATCTGTGGGAGCCCCCTGAACACAAAGAGCCAAGCACCCCAGCCACAGCTCGCTTCTAGAGAGACCCCAGGAGAAGCTGCCGGCAGCGGCATCCAAACTCCTCCCTCCCTCCCTCGCTGTTTCCCTCCCTCTTCCTTTTTTTTCTTGAAAGGGACGGGGCAGGGACCCTATAGACAGAGGGAAGAGAGCTGTGGAAGGGAGCTGGAAGGGAGCTGGGGAGCCTCAGCATGCAAGCTGCCTTGGACTCTGACACTTGACAGAGCGGTCAGTCTATAGAGTGGAAAATCACCCTGAACCACGCCACCTTAAAAGTTGAGGAAAACTAATTTCACATAAAAATGAGCAATGAAAAATATTAAAGCCAAATCCCATGCAAAGCTATTAAAAGAAAAAGGAGATTAGAGAGCAGAACAACACTTTCCAGTGAGAACGCGCGCACACACCCCCAGATCAACACTGCCAGCTGTCTGGACGGCTGTGGGGGGTTGCTCTTATCAGTGTTCCCCCATGAGTCAGGCCTCTGGCCCCTGCTCTGTGCAGTCCACTCCCACAGGGTCTCTGCTCTGGGTAGTGGGACTTGCTTTGCCTTATAGGATATCAAGAAAAGAAATAGAGAAAACTTTAAAGAAATGAAAGGAGAACTAAGAGAAATTCAAATATGACAAATACTGAAGATTGGCAGAGAAGACCCAACACTCAGATAATAGGCATCCTTGACAAAGTAAGGGAACAGAATGCACGCTACCAATGACATCGCCCTCAAAAGTCCTAAAGAAAACCATTTGGAACTACTCTTTGAACAAGGCCTGGTAAGGAAGAACACAGACCCCAAAGAAGCAACACCACAGTTATATTCTGGCAGCACTACTGGACTTTAATAGAAGAGAAAAAAAGGTTTTGTTTTCTTTTAAGTCAGAGCCAAGGCTTTTTGTCTGGGTAGTTCTCTAGAAAATGGGGGGCAGGTCTACTTGGCAGGAAACAGCTTTGGTAAAGGGCAAATGTGGGACAGAGGATGGCACCCCTGGGAGGCGGGAAGAGGGGTGGCTGGTGGGTGTGGAGTGACAATGAGTCAGGAGCAGAACCTGAGGCCTGATCACACCCCAAAGGGGACCCGAAACACTCACCCATGTAGGGCTTGGTCCCGGCCATGGAGGAAGCCTTTTCTGCTCCTTTCACGACCGTCGCGATGTTGAAGTCTGTGATGTGAACATGTCCTGGAGGCAGAGAAACAGAAACTCCAGTCAGCAGGGGCTGCAGGTGGCTGGGGCCTCCATGTCTCATTAACATTGTGGTCTGCAAGGTGGGGTGCGGGGAGAAAATAGTAGCACATCTAATAGTACTTTATCTGATTCTTCAGAAAAAATCTATTTTGGCAGCATTACTTACGCAAAATAAGCTGTGGAAACAACAACGTGTCTGTCAGCAGATGAGCGGCTAAGGAAGGGTCCATATGTATATACTGTGGGTATTACTCGGCCACGAGAAGGGAGGAAATGACAGTTTGTGACAACATGGATGGGGCCTGGGGACTTGACGCTAAGCCAGAGTCCGCTTACACACAGAATCCAAAAACAAGTCAAACTTGCACAAACAGTAGAAATCCCAGGGGCTGGGAGGGATTGGTAAAGGGACAAACTTTCATCGTAAGAAACAGGTCTGAGGCCCAAATGTGGCTGCAGTGACCGAATGTCACTATGGTATTATCGTTGTGTAATTGAAATGGACTGAGTAGAGCTTAAATGCACATATAATGAAAAATGCCTAGCTTATACTCAGGTTTTACAATGTGGATTTTTTGAGTGTTGCATGTATATTATTTATAAGCAAAACTACTTACATTGGGGACTCGATTAAAAAAAAAAGGTATGCATTCAAGTTTAGAGGCCCTGATCCAGAGCTGCCAGGGGAGGTCAGTCAGACCCGCTCTCTGGGTGCGGTGGGGTCAGGGGCGGGTATGGGGATTCTCATGCCCAGGGAACAGTCTTGGGGTCACTCAGTCTGTTCCCACTGATTATGGCCACTGGGGTTCCTGATTAATTTAGTGAGAAGGCATCTGGGGGCCAAGACCTCCTTCCATCCAGCCTGGGGAAGGGTCCAGGTGGGTCATGGAGAGGCCAGCAGCACCTACCAAGCAGATGATCTAGAACCACAAGGTACAGAAGAGGAACAGAGATGAGGGACGGAGACAAGACAGGTGACACAGTCTTTTACCTTTTCTTACAATACTTCTAGAAGTTATCTTTGATATTTAAATCTTCCGACCCTATGGAATATTATTTTTGCATATGGTATGAATAGCATTCTGACTTCCTTTCTTCCAGATGGACAGCCAGTTGTCGCAACCACCATATTAAAAAAATTCATCTCTTTCCAATCATTTGGGCCTTTATTCTGTATCAAGTTCTACACCGACTTGGACTTGCCATTGTTTGCTCCGGGCTGGTGCCCCATTAGCTCAATTAATGTAGACTTGCAGGCAATTAAAGTAGTAGATGGACTGGTTCGCTCTCATTATTGTTTATTCTCGATGTTTTCTTGGTAACGCTCACTTGTTTATTCCTTAGAGATGTTAGAAACTTTCGGTCACTCTTTGGGGTGGAAATTTTTTTTTCATTTTTTTTCTGCCTATTTTTAACATCATTACAAAAACTTCTGAGTTTTGCTTCTCTCTCTTGTGTTTGGAGACTCTGTTCATTTTCCACAGCAAAGCTGCCAGTTGTCTGCCAACATCCCATCTGCCCTTCTCACAGAAAGAGAAGTTTTAACTGGGTCTAAAGGCCACAGTCCCGGCCTCCCCTGCAGCTAGCTGTGGGCACAGGACCCGGCTCTGACCGTGGAGGGGAGCACGGGAAGCTCGAGGCCCAGCCTTTCCTACAAGGGCAAGAGAATTCCTGACACCCTCCCGCCTCCCCTGCTCCTGCTGAACAGCCGCCTTCTCTTCGGTTGCTCGTCCCTGTGTGGCCCGAACGTCCCTCCACAGTCTTCACAGATGAGCAGGACAGCCCTGGCCGTCCTCCGGGCGGGGGGCAGGACGCTGGGGCCTCCGAAGCCAGGGGCTCCAGCCCAGCGGGGCCACCCTGTGTGACAGGCGTGGCCCCCGGCGAGCTGCCTTTCACCATGCGCGGAGACGTGGAAGTGAGATTAGTGCCCGGCGAGGGTCCCTGTGGCTTCCTTCTCGGAGAAGGGAAATTCAGTGCAGCGTGAGCCGACTTGCAGGTGTCTGCTGTCCTACGCTGAAAACACCGGCGCCCGGAGAGCAGCAGCGCCCGGGCAGGGCCGCCAGCACGTGTTCCAGGGGCGCGGAGGGCACGTGACCCGCCCTGGCAGGCGTCCTCCGCTCTGCCCGGCGCTCGTCGCCGAGCCTGATGCCACTCGGAAGCCTGGGCCTTGTCTCGGCCCGTGCAGCCACCCTCCAACACCAGCCCGGCGGGCCGGCACCGGCAGACACCGTCTGGCTTGGCTCGCAGGCCCTGGCCGACGGGAAGTGCCCAGCACGGAGGGTGGCGTTTCTAACGGGGATGGGGCTCAGGGTGCTACAGCCGAGTGGGGAGGCCTGACCCGCGTCTGTCTCTCACGCTCTGGAGCTGGGGGGTCAGGGCCAGCATTTCAGGGTTCTAGGCGGAGACCCACTTCCTGATTTACACCGTGTCTTTGCGCTGAATCCTCAGGTGGTCAGGAGAGAGAGCTCTGGTCCCTCATCCCTATGTAAGGGCACCCCGCCCAACACAGGGCGCCACCAGGGGGCCCTCCAAACCCAAACACCTCCCAAAGGGCCCAGCTGCAGGTACCATCACACTGGGGTTAAGCCTTCAACATATGGTTTGGGGAGAGGGAGGACACATATTCAGTCCATAGCAGATGGGTCTCCATGGGCCCCCTGCTCCCCCTCGGGTCATCCTAGCATCTACCACCCGGTCTCTGTCACCATGCGCACCTCGCCCAGGTCTGCCTGACTCATTTCTGTGCCCCTAGTGCCCTAACCCTGGCCCGAGCCTGGAAAAGGTACTCACTGAATGTTTGTTGACTGACTTACTGACCAAACAAAAACACCTGGCGAGCAAGCCCTCCCCCGCTGGCAGAGACGGCGTTGCTGCCCCAGGGGTTCCCAACACCATGTCAACGCTGCAGCAACATCACTTTCTCCAACCTGACGTCCGAGGGCGGCACCCAAGCCCCCTCTCTAGGGTTTTGTAACCCCCGGTACCGGCTTGGTTGGCACTACAGGTTGGTGTGTTTTCTGGGTATTAGAGTACTTGCCACTGAAGCGCCTTTGAGGGATTTGTTGATCTTTTCATTCCTTCCACGTTGTCTGCAGGGCACCTTCCTCCACGCCCATGAGGGAGTCTCAAAGCGGCAGACACTGAGGACATGTGAGCCCCATATCATAGGTCTGGGGGTGGGCTTGATGGGCTGAAGTCCCCTGGCCGCCTGCGGGGCTAGCGGTCAGTGCTGATGCCCAGAATCACCTCCCACAAGCACCAGAGATGCTGATTCCCAGAGCGGACCTGAACCTTCCCTCCACATCCCAGGAACAAGCGCCCCAAGCCCCCCAAATCTGGCTGCATTTCCGCTGCTTCTTCTGCAACTGCATCTCATGAAGAAGCCCTGCCCCTGCCCCGCATGGCCACCCCCTCGCCCCTCTCAGCCCCTGTGATGAAACAACACCCTGGGTCTTGGCCAAATGAGTGAAGGCTGGGGAGTCACCACTCTGTAGAGCCAGGAGCTCCAGAGCAGGGATGATGAGGGGTCGGCTTGGAAGGGGCAGGCAGCCCTGGAAGCCGGTCTCGCAAGGTGCAAGGTGAATTCTAGATGCCTGGGCTGGGTGCTGAGGTGGTGCCCACTAGGGGGCGCTACACCGGGGGTTTGCGGTGAATCCTCAAGAGCAAAGGCTCATCTGCCCGACCTCGCCTCACGCCCAAGGCCAGGCTGGGCCGCCCCCACGCGCCCCCTGCTCTATGCTAATAACAGCTACATTTCTGAGACCTTGTGACGTAGACCTTGTGACGTAACACCGGGGCTTGGGGTCACAAGGTCTTGCCACTTATCTTCATGGAGATCTTAACGAGCTTATCACAGGGAAAGAAACCAAATCAAATCCAGGCCCCGGCTTATCCAGGCGTCATGAGGCTGCTGGCGGCAGAAGACCGGCTCGTCTTGCGGCATGCCTTTGCCTGATAGAGACGAAGTGACCCCTTGATTTTCTTTGTTCCACTGGGTGTGACCGCCTCACAGCCTGGGTCAGGCGCACTCTGGGTCAGGGGACACGGGCTGAACTGGTGCAACAGCTGGCGTGAGAACCACACTGCCCCTGGGCTTCCCAAGAGCATTGGCTGAGTTAGGGGAGCGCTCAGCTCCTGCCTGCCACAGGGCCTGCCCCTGGATGTACTGCGGCTCCATACAACCTGCCGGCATCTGCCTCCCACTTGATCTGATGCACACAGAAGCCACCTCGCCCAGGCTTTGGAGAGAGCTTGGAAGTTCTAGTTTCTTTCCCCTTTCACTTTGTCCTTGGCTCTTAATGTTGAGGCACGAGATTTCTGGGTTGGTCAGTTGCTGCAGCACAGCCACGGCTGCCTGACTCATTTACTTCATGTCGTCTCTCTTTGGGCTTGCACTTTTATCACATCAAGCACGACAAGTGCCATTTGTACAGATTTTTGTGACAATTTTTCCACCAAGACCTGCTCTTTCCAACGGCTGTGAGGTGCCATGCTGGAGAATGGCCATCTTTGGACACGAGGCATCCTTGTTCTGCCTCTACTGCCTCCGGTGTCACAGGGGCTAAAATCGGGTGGGGGGATGGAAGTACATTTCCTGACTCTCTTGTCGCTACAGTTCTGGACAAGAGTCAGGCTCTGCCTAGGAGAGGCACACAGCTGAGGTTTGGCAGGTGGAAAGCAGCAGAGGGAGAGCACCATTTAAACACTGGAACTGTGTTGTCTCAAGCCAGAGGTCAGGCCAGAAAAAGACTTCCTCATGGTGCCTGCTTCAGAGAGAATGAATGTGCGAACACCGTGACGTCTGACTCTAGGCTCCAGAGCTGTGAGACAAACCTCAGTGGCTTATGGTCTCTCAATCTGTGGGACTCTGCATGGCAGCAGCCTCAGGAGACTAACACAGGGGCACCAAGCGGCTTCTCAGAGGCTCCTTCTCCCAATCTTTCGGACCTCGAGACCCTCCCAGCACAGAGCATCACAGGCAATAGATGCTATAGTGGAGCCTTCCCTTCCCAGCAAGCTTCTGAAAACCATCTCATCACCAACCTCCCAAGCATGCCCAGAACAGCTTTCAGCCACATTCCTGTGCCTTGTCCTTAAACCTTTGGAACCATCTAGAATAATAACACCCTCTGTTGGCTCCTCAGACCTAGCAGAAACACCACGGCCCCCCAAGTTGTTTGGGAGCTCCCCCACTTGCTTCCCAGCTGCTCCACCCCTGGATCCGAAGCATTAGTAACAAGTGTCAATGTGTAGATTTTCTGGCACCTCCTCCCCCTGGCAGGATGGCGAGAGGATAGAGAATGTTTTGACAAGGGAGAAGGGGGTGTCGATGCTGCTCACCCCCACCATTTTAGGGAGCATTCATCACATTTATCAACAAATCTGTTAGCGACAGATGGAGAAGCAGTTCTGTGAAATGAGTCCGTTAATGAGTAGGGTTGAAACGTGTGGTGGGGCCCGGGTGCAGGTGCTTCTCCTGTTCCTGGGTGATGCGCGGCATGACTGGGTGCCACTTCAGGCCACATGGCTGTGCCACAGGCCTCGTGTCCGTAGTCGCTCCCGATGCATTGCCGAGGACAGGCCGGCTTCAGGAGCAGTTCAGGACTGCAGGGCCCATGAACTTGGCAGGCTGGGCCTTTCTGTGCAATTGAGCTCTCACCTGGCAGCACGGCGAGAGCTCACGGACATGGGGTGAGCAGTGAGAGCAGCAGGGAGGAGAGAACAGGGTTGCCATGGCTGGGGTGTGTGGGAAGTGGGGGAGGGTTTGCGCCAAGCTTTGAGTCATATGATGAACAAGTGCTGCAGGTGTAATGTACAGTGTGGCGATAACGGTTAATGAGACTGTTCCATTCCTGAAGTCTGGTAAGAAAGTAGGCAGCCCTCACCAAGAGGTCAGTGGGGGAAGGTCATAGGGGCGGGTGGTGGGGGAGGGGTTAGCCGCTCCGCATCCCACAAAGCACCCGTATCTTAAATGATCACACCGAGCACCTTTAACAAATCACAGGGCACAACCACACAGGACACAGACCAGAAACGTCCACGGATGCCCATCCATTAGGATTGAAACAAAAAGGCTTCCCAGTCAACCCTAAAACCCAGCATCGCCCCAGGACTTCCCGGTCTCCAGCACCCCAACCTTCTGCCGCCTCTGTGAGCATGGGGAGACTCACCGTGCTCGTCCAGCAGGATGTTGTCTGGCTTGATGTCTCTGTAAAAGAAGACAAAGAGCTGAAAGTGCCACTCCGGGGCCGCCCGGAGCCAGGTTGTGTGTCTGTGAGCTAAAACAGACTTTCTGACTTTGGGTTAGGAAAACCAAACAAGATGCATAGGTACAAAAAGCAAAAACTGCAAAGAATGTTCCAAGGTGGGCTTCATGACCAACATATTCATTATCCAGCCCTTTGTGGGGAAAGTTTGCTGCTCCCTTTTTAGGTTAACAGTGAATATGTGCAACAAAACTTGAGCTGAGGAGTTTCTAGAAAGTTCTGCCCCATGGCACCACTGCAGCAGAGGGTTCCCAACTCCAAGTTGTGCATCTTAAAGGCAGGGCCTTACTCCTCACCTCTGCACCCTGGGCCTTGCATGCACTGTCACAGATGGACGCTTCAAGGAGAAACCAGACCCAGACGGCATTTACGGTGGTGAGAACAGAGTGGACACGGGACTGTTGCAATAGGGAAAGAGACTTAGATATTGAACCCAACAGGGACAAGTGGGGACGTACAGCCAAGGAGCAGGCGGGGGGTGGTGGATGGAAAATTACTCCAGGCTAAGGTGTCCTGGCTACACGGCCCTAAGGCAGCCCGGGCATTGGCCATCACGGGGTCGGGGGCACAACACCTGCTGATATATTCAGGGTTGGGGATTCTGCTTGTGAACACATAAAATTTGCTGCTGCACCCCTGAACCCCATGGTCCGGCACAGCAGGCAGGCGAGCAGAGTCCTCTGTATAAACTGCAGCCAGAACAGGCTCTCCCTGCGGCCTGTGCGGGAGTCTCTGCCTGAATGCAAGCCCGCCTGTCAGCCCGGAATAAAGATTTAACTGTGGGGACCCAGCCTTCGCATCTCTGCAGGGCATGCCTTAGGAAGGAAGAGATTAAATCCTGCACCACCTTCCTCCAGCATCAGCATATCTTTAGGAAAACTCGGAACCAGCAGCTCCCCAAGAATAACGGCGGTCTTCATGTCAGTGACTCACTGCTCCCACCTGTATCGACTAAACCCAACACGGGCCTATTGGAACAGCTCCCGCAGCGCAGTATCTGCCAGGCTGCTTCCTGGGCTTGAACCCTCACTTTGATTAGCCTCTTTGTCTAATTACCACTGAGGTTTTATTTCCAGTTAACATGCTAAATGACTTGCTCAATTCACCAAAATTGGACCATCAGAGACTGACACAGAAGCCCAGAAGCGGGGCCTTGGAGGCAAAAGAGTTGGGGTGGGGGAGCCTGCGTAGTCTGGTCAAGAAGATTCTCAATGCATGCAATCAGGGGTGAGGGATGAGATGGGGGGACGGGCGATGGGAACCGCATTGGAACCATGGAGAACCTCCAAGGGCATCTTCAGCCCCGATTTCTTAATCATTAACGCACAAACACTTTCCACAGCTCTATATTAAAGCCATAGATTCTATGGAACGCAAGCCCCATGCACTCGCTTGCAATAAGCATCTCATCTCCGGAGACGGATGACAACGTGCCTGAAAATAAAAACCGATCGCTCCTGTGTTTATCAAAGAGGGGCTCTACCTGGAAACGCTGTGGCTAGCTGCAGTCACGTCACGTGACGCCCACGGCTCTGGGGGTGAAGAAACACTCAACCTACATATTTACATTTTTAGTCTCATTGTGACTTTTCACACCTGGGACTCTGGCGACGCCAAGCACACGAGCCCCCACCGCCAAGCTCACGAAACAGCCACGTGAGCAGAGATCATCTGTGGCGCCCCACGGGAGGAGGAACTGGGAATCACAAAATTAAAACAAAAAAGCAGAAGACCCAGAATCAAATATTTGTGGATTAAATCAGCAAACACTCCGGGTCCCCATTTAGGGCATCTCCCGGCAGGGTTTCCCGAGAAAAGGTGAGAAAAGGGAAAACAAGCACTCGCGGGAGTGGAGAACGAACACGCGAGCACAGCAGCCAAGGCCGAAGAGCTCCCTCGAAGGCGTCCCGAGGGCTGGGGTCACCCTGTTTGGGGAGGAGGGTCCGGGAGGCGGTGGCTGTGGCTCAGGGAGCACAAACCCCCAAATGCAGAGGTGGCACCCCAAGGATCTGAGAGCACCTTCTGGTGGGATTTTCTGCCTCTCCCCCCTTTCTCCCTCCCTAATTTTCTCCCTCCTGCTGCCTCTCCGCCCTCTGCTGGTCCTCCCGTCTCGCCCTCCGCCCTCTGCGGCTGCTGCTTCCCTCCTCTTTCAAGAATGCTTCTCAAACACCACCCCTGGGCAAGTCCGGGCAGAGAGCTGGGGAGTCCCTCCCTCCCCTTCTGAAGCTCAGACTCCCCAGAGAGAAGGACTCATGTCGGGGCGCCCCCGAGTGGGTCGGCAGATGCCACACCACTGGGATGAGAGGACCGTGACGGAAGCGCAGGGACAGCAGGGACCAGGTCAGAGCTAACAAAAGGTGAGCCGGGCTAAGGAGCCGTGACCCAGTGGCGTGGGGTGAACAGCATCCCCCCCAAATTCATGTCTACCTGGAACCTCAGAATGTGATCTTATTTGGAAACGGAGACTTTGCAGATGGATGCAGTGAAGGATCTCAAGATAAAATCATGCTGGATTTAGGGAGGGTCCCGAACCCAGGGACTTCACGGGGGCCCCGGGGCCGGCGGGAGGAAGGCCAAGTGATGACAGACCCCAGTGACCGGCGCAGGCCGGGAGCCGGCGGGGGCCGGAGGGGCAGGGACGCGCTCCGCCTGGGTGTCTGCAGGCGGGCGGCCTGCGGACACTCTCACTTCAGACACCTGACCAAGGCCGGGCGAGCAGGAGTCCCCTGCTTTGAGCCACCAATTCTGGGGTGATTTGCTGTGGCTGGGAGGGCGGTGAGAGTCCACCTGCACGCGCTCAGGGCTGACATCAGCGGCCCCGCGCCAGGCAGCTTCCACCCAGCTCTCCCAAGGACCAGGGGGGCTCGGGACGGTCCTTGGCTTTTAGCAAAGCAAGCTGGGTCTCCGTCTCCATCACGGGCAGCGACAGGCCGCCGCCGGCCGAGCCCCGAGGAGGAGCTGCAGCGCCTGAGTCACTTGGGATTTAATGAGAATCACATTTTATGGGCAAAGCTTCTTATCGGAGCCTTTAGGGTGGCGGCGTCAGGCACTTGCGCACAGTCCTATTTTCCGCCGTGATCCTATCTCAGGCCGCGCGTCATCCCGTTGAAAATAGCCTCGGCCGTGCAGAAAGGGCAGGGAGGCATCGCGTGGAGGGAAGCTGGGCCGTTTCCGGAGGACAAGCCATCATCTCAGAGCTGGGCAAAGTGGCACTTTGATGGAGAGTCTGCGTGCCAGGCTATAAACCCGGCCCGGCCCTGGAATCGCTCCCAGGCCCCAAATAAACCAGAGGGGAATGTCAGCGGGGCTATTCGGAGACAAGCCACCCCCGGGCACAGAGACGGCTCTGGCCAGGCTGCAGGGCCGTGCGTCCTGCCCAGGGGCTCCCGGGACACGGCGGGGCGGAGCATCGTGGGTGTTTCACCGCTAGACCGGCACGGGCTGCTGCTCCCTGCTGCCCAGGGAGCGGGCGGCCAAGTTCCCTTCTCCACGGCCTCTGGCCCATGAAGCCTCAGTCTCCTCAGCTGTGAGTGGACAGTGCGCGCGCCCCGTTCCCAGCTCTGCTCCGCTCCTCCTCTATTTTTATTTTGCTCACTGCTAAATCACACACCCCCACTACCCTCCACCCCCACTCTCCCACAGCCCCACCATCACAGGAACTCGTCCTCGATGTTCTAGAGCGCACATCCGATGACTCGGAAAACCCGTGGCACCGCCGCTCGCCGCCCGCAGGCTGCCCCGGCCTGACGGTGAGCAGGCTGCTCCGAGGCACCGCGAGGCCGGCCTTCCGGGGCGGCAGAGGCTGCGGATCAAGGCGAGAGAGGCCAGTGGACACTCCTGAGGGGCTTCGCTTGCTCGTGGTGCCGACTTCAGGTGGTTAGATGCAGACGGTCATTCTGGGGACTTTCACGCAGACGGGCGCGTGCTAGACAACCTCGCTCACCGAGGCGAGGTCTTATGAGCGGCCAGCCCACGGGGGCCAGGGGGGTGTGCTTGACATTGGGCCGAGGGAATGGGTGCAGGCAGGAGGCGTCTGCGGGGCTTGGGGTGAATGGTGGCTCACGGGGCTGCTGGTCTCCGCCTGGGCAGCCGGGATGGATGCTGTGCTCGCTCTCCAGCCGGCTGATGCAGCGTGAGGCGATGGAGCTGGCTCGCGACTGGAGCCTCTCACCAGGCTGGCGTGGACTGTTCTAGAAACTGGGTCATGATGAAGAGACTAGACATTATCTCTCTGGCTAAATACTGCTTCTCTCTCCTGCTTCCTGAGGAGGGCAGGGACCTGCGCAAATTCCAATTCCGGCAGGATAACATCCCGTCACACATACGGCAGAGATGGCCAGCGCGGGTGGGGAGCTCCTTGCCTGCGGGGCGCGAGGCTAAGCGTGTGCCGAGGGTTAACACGGAGCGTGGTCGTGCTGTGCTCTGGCCGCCTCCTCGCTTAATTCCGACACAACCTTTAAGGGCAGGTACCACTGCTTGCCGGTTATTGATGAAGGAGAAAGATCTATTTATGGGGGTCAAAGGTCACAGAGTGACAGCAACAAGACCGATTCTCAGGCTGCCTTGCTCTCTACGTCTGTGTCTTCTGTCCATGGGGAGAAAAACTCAAGAAAGGAAACAGAGCTCCCAGAGGGCGGCCTTCGCAGCAACAACCCAGGGAGCCGATTACAGATGCCGGACTCGGGCAACAAAGGGACGATGCTTGCATTTCAGCATCTGCTCTGTATGACGACCCCGCAAGCAAGGTCGCGTTTCTTTCTTTCTTTCTTTTTTTTTTTTTAAAGATATTTATTTATTTATTTATACAAGCACTGGGTTGAGTCAGAAGCGCGAGAGAATTCAACAGAGCCAGAGCGGGGAGCAGAGCAGGCAGAAGGACCGAAGGACACTGCTGAGGGGAGCAGCGGGCGGCAGGAGAGGTCTGCGTGCCATGCGGGACCCT